CCCAAATATTTATACAGAATAAAAATATTAAATAAATTCATGACACTGGCTGAAAAGAAACACCACACAAATAAACGTCAAAAAAAAAGAAAAACAAATAGCATTATACAGAATAAAAAATTATTATTTCATGACACTGGCTGAAAAGAAACACCTTATAAATAAACGTCAAAAAAAAAAAAACAAATAGGTACGTCACATAAAATCCAACAATAATGACAGCCAGTCAGTTATGGGAGCATATATTAGATACGGCTGACCTATTTATTTATATAACAAGCACATAATCTCCCCTATAACATCCGGAACCCCAAAACGTTCATCTAATTGGAGATCAAAGCAGGGCGTGTAATCGCACTTGCCTACTTGATCATTGTTACATACACTAGATGTGACATATGAAAACTAAACCAGTACAAAAAATATAAATAAACAGTAGTTTAGAGGATTTTTTTAATGTTATACATTAATTATAATGTGCGCTTCCAGTTTTATGTATCATTGTATTGTTTAATGAGCACAAAGTTTTCGGAGTTTTGACAATAATCTGTCCGGAAGGGTTATACGGATAGTGATGGATGGACAGTGTTAATGTGTGTTGCATTAGATTATATATGAAGGGGTTAAATGAAGCGATCATAAATAAAATATTTGTTAAAAAAAGCTACGTGACATATTTTATTAATTTGACGTTGACATTACGATTATGGTTTATTCACATAAACGGTTTTCATTCTTGACAACTCAAAAAAATATGTACATACCATCTATGTGAATAGACCCTTTCATTGCACAATCAGTTTCTGATTACTTCATGTGCATAGAACAAGAGCGCGGGTATAACCAGTAGTAACTGTAGTGTAAACATCCACACTAAGTTAATTGACGCTATCAAATATTGGACGCTCTCACGGATACTAATACACATGTCATGCTGTCAATTAAATTTAAATTTGGAACGAATTTCGTACACTACACAATCGTTTTTTTTTAAATTTTAACAAGATAAAACAGGCAAGAGTTAAGTGCTAAGTGCAAAGAGGTTAGGAAATCTCAGATAAATTGTAAAGCCACTTTCTAGGGCGCTCCCTTGTTTAAATCTATTGGGTACACTTAATTTCCTAGTATCAATTGAGGCTTTGTTTTCACCGGACAACGCCCTCTGGAGTCTTGTAACAATTAACTTTGGGATAGCTCTAAATTACAAGATACGGCGATTTAAATGTTAAAAATAAAGAAATGACATCATCAAAGTTGATGATTATTTTGAACTATATATAAACGTTTATTCTTTCCTACATTATTCAGAGATTTATCACATCGACTCTTAAGTTTAACGTTCTTTGTAAAACCTTTCGTAACGCTTCCACTTTTATTGCTCTACGAACTCTGTGATTATTTTTTTACCATTCTTTAACATTTCACAGTTTCCTTGGAGAATCTTTCTTATATCTGAATTGAAGTTCTAGTATTTTTTTTTATATATGTACATACAAAAACTTTTTCTCTTTACAACTGATTAATTATCCATAAATTGATATTGATTTAAATTAAATAATCTTCAGGTATTTTCCATTGAATTACCTCTATGTTAAAATATGACGCTTATATGTACTTTCCCGATTAAAATTTCATAATTAAATTATTTTAAATCAATTTATATATTAAAATTAATAAAAGATTTCCTATATGTTAATTAATATTGATTGATCATACAGTTTTTTCGTATTCTCATAATGTTTATTTTGGTTCTGTCAAGCCACCGTATTAAGAGATGTGTCATCACGTTCGGAAACGAAATATCTGTACGGCCAACATTGCGTAAGTTAACGCAAAGCATTTGACAAATATTTATTATACTTGATAACTACATATATATAATATTTACATCATAATTATTATTTTAAATATGTACTGATTTTTTTTTTGGGTCTTTCCACACCTTGATACATAGATCAACGAAAACAAGTTCATATAAAATTGTTGAATATTTAGGTTTTATTTATTAGATGTATATAATACTTTAAATTATACATTAACTCTTTTATACGAATTTAAAATCTTATAAATTGTTTAAGAAATAAATATACATATCATCCGCAAGTACTTATTCTAAGTAAAATAAAGTACATTATAAAGTAACTTCTTCTGAAATGTAATTTTTTTTTAAATAGATTTTCAAATAAAATATAAAATAAATATATACCAAACAACCTTCGCAATAGGTATAAATTAAAAGTTGACGAATATTTTATTAATACATTATTATCATTATACTAAAAATATAACGATAATATACAGGTTGTATAGAAAATAGGTTAAGTTATCACACGACAACACATTAAGTTGTTTACGGTGTTGGTTGGTGGATGTTACTTTGTATTGGAAATGACAGGAAATTGGTATACACAATACAATACTATTAATATATTGATAACAACATCATAAATATGCACTATTGAACACGAGATATATACAAAATAATATTAAATGTATATATAACTAAATAGTTTTGCATATACAACCTCTTTATTATACGCAAATTAAAAAAAAATAATGAAATCAGCCAGATGTATATTTAAAATATATATAAAAACTCTTTGTCTTTATAATTCAAATTTAGAACGCAGATGATATAAATATTATATATAGTATGTGTCAGTCGGTCCGTAGCCGTCGGCCCAAAGCGATGCATATCGAGTCCAATATTTAACCAAACTCAATAAGTGTAAATCTATGGTATTTCCATAAACGCTGTCTCACTTACTAGTGCTGGCCAGCTTTATTTATAAACCCATCCCTCTTATAGTACGCGTTGAATTATTGCTAGCAATTTAAAATTGTCTTGCGGCGGCGCGCGGTTCATATGTAACCGAGTTCTTTAAATATTTGTTGCAGTATTAAAGTTTTAATTATCGTCAGTCTTACATCGACCTTGTGTATACATGGATGTTATTTCAATACATATAATATTCAGCGTGATACATTGCGCAATGAAGGCCGGTGTGTCCGATAAAAACACATAAAATCAAATTGATCTGGCAACACAATAGTCTATCAAACGGTATGCAAACATTAAATGTATGCCTTGTCCTATTTAAGTGTAATTCACTTGAATTGATTTATATCTTGTTCGTACATATTATTTATATTTATTATGTGAAGAGGCCGAGACATAAACGTTACAATTCATTCTCTATTTCCGTGTAACGCGGGTTAAGTGTTATCTGTATTTCACACAGATTATAAAAGAAAGTAACATATTATATATGCTGTATAAAATAATATGTAAAAATCGCGTCCAATGAATTTTTTTAAAGTTAAAACGAGTTATTGTTGAAGATTATTATTATTATTAATTTTATGATAATAATAATATGTACCAAATAATTGACGTTATTCCCATGTTTTTTAAAAAATATGTCAAACGATGCGTCCAAATATGTATGTTTGTTTATTTATTGAAGCGGAAGGGGAGAGTCAGTAATTGGCACATGACAATAGAGATTAAGCGGCTTACAGAGTTTTGTGATTCAAATATTGGGCCGATATGCCGCGCAGTGGCGCGTTGTGCCGCGCCGGTGGGCGACAATGCCGGTTATGATAATATTCTCAGCGTTTCATACAATAATTTGTCCGCTATACAAAACGTTGAAGTCTTTATGACGTCACATCTGAAGATAATTGGAATGTGTTACGTCTGAGAGATTTATTAATACGTTTTTAACAATCTTACGAAATTTAAATATGGAATGGAAATATAAAAAACGTCCGTTATGATTCAAATGTACGTATGTGACAATTTTTTTTTTACCGTTAAGCAAACAATGGCCGGGCAGAGTTCAGGCTTCGTCTCACAATCACCGAACTATTTGCATTTCTAACAATTACAGGCACTTAACGCTAAGGCGAACTGGGCCGTGTATTGACAACGAAACTCCATTTGACACTTCCTGTTTCCTCATATTTGAACACTAGTTAAACGAATGTCGCCGGCAATCGGGTCATGGCGTGCGAAATTAATTTGCATATACTACGTTTAATGGAGTTAAGAATATACTAAGATACCTACTACAGCATGAGTAATGTTAAACTACTGAACAGCTATAGATTACATATATATGTTATCTGTAGTTAAAATATAGTTTTAATTTAATGTTTTTAAACAACAATGACATTATCTGTCAGACGTACCTAACTTTATGGAATTCAAACGTCAAATAAAAACAATATGGCGTATATTTATTATCGGCCTCCATTTATATGATTCAAGTTTAATTTTATCTAGTTTTTTTTAAATTGCCAGTACATTTAAATAGCGGATATCGGCGTAATTATTTTCAATGACAGGCTGTAGAGACAGTCATTTGCTCGTACTATGATTGTAGGTATTGAAGTCTAGTATCTATATCGTTGAGAGCTATTATTTAATCCAACTAGTTTGCGATTCTTTCAAAGATTAATATGTTATATTTATAACTAGGTTTCGCCCGCGACTTTGTATGTATTAGTTTCAGAATAAGAAATGTTAAGCTGATATGTTGAACTCTATTCTTCGTTAAAGACAGTAGATAAGAAGATTTTCTTTTTTTTTGCATTTTCAGTAAGATGAAAAGTATCTTATGTCCTTTTTGGTTCTAAGCTATTTTTCCACCAATTTTCAACAAAACCCGTACAGCCGTTCTTGAGTGATAAATAGTGTAACTAACACGACTTTTTTTACATATAAAGATATAACTTTACCAATCCGATTTATTTGCAAATATTATTATGTCTATGGTCATATTTTTTATATTTTAATTTGTGACGTAGGTATATTCAGGTTGTCTATGGTGAAGATGTCCGTTGGTATTCAAATTTTAACATCGTTTATTCATGAATGTTATAGAAATGCACTTACTATGTACCCGGACATGCGGGTCAAAATGCACGTGGCTATTTCACAGTTAAACCAGTATACATTGAGCCCTTATTAATATTACTTCCTTATATTGTTACAGCTATACGAAATTAGCGACGACCCACAAAGGAAGGAGTTCCTAGATGACTTGTTCTCATTTATGCAGAAACGTGGTGAGTACATATTAATATTAATTTCACTACCAATTGATATTACTAGTAATTTATCATAGATTCAAATGTTCTCTTCACGATGTTGCTTTATTGTGTGACCGATTTACTTGGACCCCGATTCCTTGGAAGTTTCAATAGTTCGCGGTTCAAGTAACGCTGGTCACAGATATATATCAGATATAGGTTATCTATATAAACGGTTTTATATTGTCGAGATCGACTCGAGGTGATAAGATCGTGTGATTGACGATGGAGGCCCGTCCCCGAACTATTACCCATAATTAGTCAAACTATGAATTCAATTCAACTAAAGCTTTCAATGGTTTTATTCTGTATTAAATATCAATACATTATATTATGTTTATTATATTTAATATTTTATTATATTAAAATGTATAAATATGAATAATTAAGTATATTTGTTAATCGCCTCGAGCATTTAGATCGTGAGCTCTCGTTTGATTGATAACTATGTCCGTCTCGCTCGCACGCACTACATAGTCGTATATGTCCGTCTCTCTCTGTCTTTAATTGAGCTTCGTCGAAATGGCGCCGTGATTGTCGTTAGATACATCATTCCGATATTTAACTTTTAGTAGGCATTTAAAGTAAAATAGCTATACAATTATAATTAAAACATACTGTGTTATTAATTTCGGATGTTTGTCTACAATTATAATATATTTATAGCTTTATATACCTACATGTTTTTAGTTTACGCAATAAAATTATTATATTCACATGACATTAACAGTTTTCCGCAATCGAACAAATATGAATGCAATCATAAAATACTGCTTATAAATAAGAATTAACACATGTCCTCTAAAACCATACAACTTTTATATCCTTACTAGCTTTCCGCCCGCAGCTTCGCCGCGTGGAGTTCGGTTATATCGCGTTTCCAAGAGAACCTTTCAAAAGTCTGGGATAAAAACTATCCTATGTTCTTTCTCAAGGTCAACTCTATCTCTGTACCGAATTTCATTAAAATCAGTTCAGTGGTTTAGGCGTGAAAGCGTAGCAGACAGACAGACAGACAGACAGACAGACAGAGTTACTTTCGCATTTATAATATTAGTAGGGATAACTAAGTAAAACTTGGATGGTATAATGATTCATTGCGTATAGTGAGGGACGTTTAAGACATCGATGGAAATTAAAATCTACATTTATCGATATCGACGTTTCCCATCCTTAGCTCTATAAACAAGTCCTAGCGCCCAGCTCCGTCTTATCTCAAATAACAAATTATTATTCAATTTATCACCAATCCAATAACTCCCGTCCGTAACGCGATAACAGCCGGGCTAATCGATTTGTTTTTTATTTAGTTATTTTATGATCTGTATTTAGTTATTTGATTCGGATGCATTTTTATTTTTTTTTAATCTGTGAAAGTCAAACATCGAAGTTATACAGCCTGGCCTTGATAGAGGTTTTATAATTAATTTATTCGATCTGTTATTAATAATGTTTTATCATTTATAATGGGAGTGAGTAATGTAAGTCCGGTCCCGCCCCCCCTTCATCTTCATCAGCCGTCGATGTGTTTTGTTCCTTTTAATCAATCTCGGACGTTTAATTTCGGACGCCATTATGTTAATGTGTCCGTGGGTGGTTCTATCGATTAAATAGAAATCCGCGAATCGTTAAAAATATTATGTTTTATTATAATTAATATCCATATATTAAATTTATTCTGAACTCTATAGAGTTATAAAAATAGGAATGATATTGTATCCTCGTCTTGATTTAATGGGTTATAAAATTGATTATTATAATAAAATATGATCCGGCGACCTTTTGTGCGAGCCATTAAGATACCGAATAGAATTTATATAATACCATGATGTATTAAATTAAAGATATAAGCTTAGCTTTAGATGAATACATACTTAACTTAGAGAATTTTTTTCTTGCTTGTACCTATTGGTAAGTATATGGTCAGTATAAAGCTTTTACCATTATAAAGTATAAATTCTTCTAAGTATTATTATGATACAGGGTGATGATAGTCCTTGTTTGTGCCCCGACCACGTGACCAGCTCGTTAGCAACTGATTGATCGAGGCACAGCCCCGCTCCTGAACAATATATATACAGGGTGTTCAATACTACAGTACTACACAAAATTCATATATATTTTGAAGAAAATATTGATTTATAGTCTATAATCTATATTAAAAAAATTTATTTTAGTAGACATCAATAACACAAATATATGATTTTTTTATGTCATATAATTCTTATATAGAATTTTTAATATAATGTGAGCACGCTGTATAATTAAAGTCATTGTTTCACTTGTTAATAGCGAGTATAGTATAACTAATAACATCTCATTCGGATTCATTTCCCGTGATTAATTATCTGTTTAATCGATATAAGATGTTGTGCCAACAGCCTTCTCGTGTATCCTAGCTCACAGACATACCCTAAACATACCCTATCACTATAAACATAAGGTCTATTTTGGATTGTATATAATAGATCACAGATTAGATTAAAGAGTGTATCTATCAATTTTTTATGATCTCATTGAAGACCTTTGTTAGATATTTAATTGGTGTCTTAAACAGGGTCGTCGTTAATTCGATTTCGGGTTAGCGGCCATTTGTTCGTGTCTGCTTAGACTTACGAATGTTAATCTAAAATTGATTGATTGGACTCGAGGCGTGGAACAATTATTACAAGTCTTGTATATATTTTAAGTTATCAGAAAAGTTGTGTTAAATTTAATTGATGTATTTAAATTTAATGCTTAATTTGATGGAGATTTGCTGTAAATGATGCTCTTTGATGTGGCGATATAAGAAAAAAAAGATTCATATCTCTATGCCGACGAAATTAATTTGTTTTGTGTGTTGCCAAATTCTGACAGTTACATATTTAAATATGGTAAATAAAATTGAATGATAATTAAATTTCCGCCACCCTCAACATACGGTTTGAACTGGCAACACCAAACGTAGGTAGGTAGGAGAGTTATTTAATAAATCGGTAAACGTCAGTAGATAACATGGCAACATTGTGACGGTCATCTCGCGCCAATAACTGTGTTCTGCCAGTCATTCAGCCCGGGTCACGGAATGAAAGAGGTGGCGGATAAATTAAAATACACTCACATATAACTAAAATTTTACTTTAAATTAATAAAAAAAAACTTTCTTTAAATTATTTTTATCCATATAAGTAATAAAAACACTAATAACTTATTTATTTATGGCTTAGTTTTGTTTTCAAACTGTCACATGTTCCAAAACTCGAATTTCAACTTAGGCTGAATGAATTCAGATGAAAGTTAAATGTACTAGTATAAAAAAAATATGTTAAAAAACCAAATGTCGTCTCATTTTTTTTCAAGTCATGTTAATTTAAACATGTTAATGATGATACACGAGTTTAATAAAGTGTATCCAGTAGCCAGTCCGAATAGCTTTGAGATTATGATCGATTATTTTCGTCTTGTTCCGTAACAAAAATGGCGCAGACGTCGCGCTCGAGCCGTGTCGGGATCAAACGGTTCTCTTACAAATAAAAGTGGTATTAATCAACGCTAGAGGTGATTTTGTATTTAATGTATTTTGAATGTTCCCGTTTCTTGTTTTTGAAGGTGATCCTTTGTAATATTATGATTTATTCGCCATTCTTAATACAAGTATTGCGTACCTCGTGTTCTAAATTTGAATTAATTATTTTTCATAATTAAAAAGTTCCCGCGCCAAGACGTATCTTCAACTCCACGTTGATAATCTCACATATTATTAATAAATCAAAGCCATTCTATTCCGGTCGCTTTTTAATCTGACGAAATTGTCTCGCCTACATTTACGACTCTATTAATATAATTTATTTTAGTTTAAACGTTTCTTTTGTTTCAGCTCACCGTAAACTCATTTTATTGAGGCACACACATCTTTGATGTACATACATTGTTTATAATGAACGTTACATATCAAACGGCGTATAGTAACAATGTATCATATTTAATATAGTTTTAATAACCAACCTCTAATTATTCCGACGCTAATATTTATTGTTTAACAAATTCGGCCGCCATAAACGGCGAGCCGTCAGGATCGTTCCTTTTGTAGTTGCGAGCGTTTTGCATATTTTTAATGTTCATTAATAAAAGTCAATATGGCCAGCGACCGGCCGGTTTGATTAATCGGTTCAATGTGACTGATGAGCTAAATTAACTTTAATATAAAAGATTCATCTATATATATTATATGTTATTCTATGGCTGATTATTTAAATTTGAGCCTTTCTATATAAACGACTAATTAAGTCAAAGCGTCAAGTCGCTAATCGTTTTTTGTTTCTAATAATCTTTGGTCGCTGACCGTCACATCCAACCCAAATTTAATTCGCGCCAAAAAGCATTGTTCAATGTACGCGCGTGTTTAATCGATTATATTAAGGTGTCGTATTCAAACCCGCTCGGGCTTAAATGTTTTAAAATTCAAATTCTTTTTTTATTATTATTATTTTTCATTCAATATATTGAGTCGCACGTCACACGACCGACTACTTATAAGGTGTATCAAATAATAGAAACTCATTGTTTTCACGATGAAGCTCATAAAAAATAAGGTCGTGTTATAAAAAGTGGGAGTGTTACCGCATTATAATATTAATATTTTTCGGTCCCGACAATTCTTTCTTCACCATTCTGTATGAGTCCATTGTTGTTCTGTCCATCCGCATCAAATACCCTCATAAATCATATTCGTCGTAAATTCGATGTGAGTTACAATGAAATATCTGTTCGTATTTGAATATCGACCGGACTCTGTTCGGTGACATTCCTTCTGATCCTCTTATAAACTGCTCTTCACTGTATGTGTAGGTTTCAAGACGTGTTGTTCGTTAATATAATTAACTACAGGACTCAATGAATAGTGTGTATCGATCATAATTATAATGACAACAATGTTGCCGATGTATTGTGACGGGCCAACACCACGACTTCCATTCTTGGTTACCGAATTAGCAAGAATGGCGGGTGAGTTTTCTCTTTGTAACCAATTATGGGTTATTATAGAGTCGAATCACAAATTGCGCTTTTGCTATTGTTGTAGGCCCCACACACGTACCTTGTTTACGCGACGGGCACGTACGACTTACTTTGTCGCGCGACACATCTGCCTTACTCCAGAATCAGTTGCATACATCTTATTGCTATAGCAATAAGTGTCAAAATTGAATCACACATTCGTAATAATATATCGAGTTTGATCTCAAATTAATATTTGATGTACATACTCAAAGTATTAATTTTATCGGAAATATTTTGCGATCAATATGCTATCCAAAACAAACATGCCAGTGGCCACCAGCATTTGATAATACGAACAGAAAGTAATCTTGTTTTGTTATATTTAGGGTTAAATTTACAAGGACGGTTAGCAAAAAAAAAGTGATAAGTCTTTGTAATCTGTCTGACGCCGGGCTTACTTCGAGTTAATTGCTTTGAAATGTATATTTTTTGTTGTCTGGTAAATGTTTTATTACGTCTACCTGAATCGGAGACAGTACAGAGATAGGAAAAAAATGACTCACGCCATTATGCAGAATATTCGAGAATCTATATTATTTGATGCTACGGCAATAAAAATTTCCTAGAACTCAATAGCTCATTTAGGTGAATAAGTTTTAAGTAGAAAATAGATGTATAGAATTTAATGATGTTTTGGCTTTAAGATTATTAAATTTAAGGGAATACAAACAAATGAGAGCAACAATGGTGTATTGTGAGCGGCGACGCTCGTAGGAAATAACTTGAAGTATGTGACATTGTTGAGAATAATTGATTTGAACTTAACTTGTTATGTAGAGGGTTTGAATAAAATATACACTATAATAAAATAATTAGTTCAATTTTCATATTAAAACATGTGAAATTGTATCGAATGTTTTTACACTAGTTGATACACTCGACTTTGGCCGCTTTTTATTTTAATAAAGTAAAGAAGAGAAAAGACATTTATGAACACGTAGCTTTACGATTTACAAATATTGTGTTTCATTAAACTTTGATTGAAGTACTAAATGTGTGTAAGTATTTTAGATAAGAGCCAAGTGACTAAAAAAGGGATATTTCACATTCGTAACACCAAATAGAAAAAGTTTTTCGCTTTTCAAAACTCTTCATTTTATTCATAAACAAACATAAAATTATTATTGAAATTATATTTATATGATTACATGAAACGGATCCAAACGTAAGATCATTTTTAGTCCCATGTTTATTTTAATGGTCTTCTAAAAGTAGGCACTATTTTTCAATGTTATAAAAAAAGATAAGTACAAACTTAATAAAGTGTGGGATTTTTTGATGGTGTTACGCGTTTCAAATAAAACTTACTTTACAGATTAGATATTAAATCAATCGTGTTAAGACTTTAATTAACATCAAATATATTTACTCAATATGAAATATCCATATCTTATTTTATTAATACATTTATTCATAATATAAAAACAGAAGCGAAACAAAACATAATTTAATATATTTAAAATGAACAAAATAATGTTATTTAATTTATATTCAATTTGTAATAAGATATGCATCGTGGCACGTCTGCTACCAGCTGTTATAAATAATGAATTCGGATTGCTATTTTTATATGAATTGTTGAAAACATGTTAAAAACATATAAAAAATATATATAATGTGTTTGTGGACTGATTCCAGACTGTGATGGTCGTGATAATAACTTAATTATACGTAATTTAATACAATTACAACACCAACAAACGACAGTAAAGAAACGAATGCTGAAGATTCGACATTAAAGACTCGTTTTATTGTATACTAGCTAGCCCGCAGCTTCGTCCGCGTGGAGTTCGGTTATATCGCGTTTCCAAGAGAACCTTTCAAAAGTCTGGGATAAAAATTATATATGTTGTTTCTCAAGGTCAACTCTATGACTGTACCAAATTTCATTAAAATCAATTGAGTGGTTTAGGCGTGAAAGCCTAACAGACAGATAGAGTTACTTTCGCATTCATAATATTAGTAGATATTCTCTTGGAAGTCAGTGAATATTTAATCTAATATCTTAATCCATTGATGTAATATATTAAGTTGATCAAATGTATAGACCCAGTGGCCTATTTCTCTAGTAGCCGTCCCCTGCCCTCTATAAATAATATCAAGAGGAGGCAACATTTACCCATTAATCATTCTGTGTCACAACGTGTCCACAGATCTTAACATCATTCAGACGCACTCGCCACTTAATTGCTTTTAAATTATTATACAGCTATGGAAATAGACTTCTGAATTGTTTTAGCTCTCCTAAATATTACTATCGATGTATATGACGAATCTTATTGGTTAATATATAAGCTTGTATATAATGTATGGTAGATTTATAACGGAATAACAATGAGATATGATTTTTTTATATGTATATAATAATGGCGGGCGAAGGCTGTTTATTATTGGATGTTGGCTTCTCTCCAGACACAGTCATTGTTCAAATCATCATACTATACGTGGTTATATAAATCAATACATACATTTTGTATATATCTTTATATATATAATTCTTCTGTGCGTGTGTATGTCACTGAACTTCTCTCAAACGACTGGACCGATTTAAATGAAATTTTGTCTGTGTTCAAGGGGATCTGGGAATGGTTTAGATTTACAATTTTTTCCGCTGGACAATGTTTTTTTAATTAATTTATATTTTATTAGTAGTTGTTGATACAAATGTTTTTTTTTGGACATTAGATTTGACAACTAAATACATAATATGTCAATCATTCTGTCGCACTTCAAACCACGGAGATTTATGGCTTTAATAGGTAAACTCCAAAAATATAAATACTAAAACGTAACAGATATTTGTTGATTATAGGGCGATACGAAGTTCGGCGGGTCTTCTAGTAAATTTCTAAGACTTTCATTGAAGTGTATATATTTTGTTCTAATACGTAGTTTTGGCAGTGCTAAGTAGTTTTATTATGATGTAGGTCTAAGCCGGCGCGTCGTGGGCCGCTCCAGTGATCTCTTTGATCATACCGTAGTTACATTTGTTACGATGAATGATACTAATCAAACACGTTTATAGCGGCCCCGGTCGCCTCCACATTAACTACCGTGTATTAAATAATCTTCTCAGAACTTCCAATCAAATATTCCTACATTAAACCGGTTAGTGTAATATTTCAAACTATTTAGTTTTACAGCGCCATCTATTGTCTGGATGTATGCCAATAATGTTTCATAATAGTTAATACCCTCGATCGTGGATACCGTTCTTATTCTGATATGTGACAGTGTGTTAATTATTTGTTATAATTCCTCAACACGTGCGCTACATATGTTAATATATCGCGTGCTTTATAAAATATAGAAACAAAGATGCACAATCAAAGTAACACGGAATCTCCCGCGACGACTGTCAAATTAGCATCGCATACTAAAATAGCGTCATTCTAATTATTTTGATGACTCAAACGAAATACAATTAATCTTGCCGTTTCTCTGAACTGTCTTGTTGATGGACGTACGTGAATATAGTCGCGTTTCGCGATAAATAAACTCGGGATGTGTATATCGGGTTACGATTCCATCGGTGCTGCGTATCAAAGAATTTACACGGTATCGGCCTGAGGCAGCGATGCGCGGTGCCGGGGCTTCTATAACGTTTGATTGATCCATCCCTACTAATATTATAAAGTAACTCTGTCTGTCTGTCTGTTACGCTTTCACGCCTAAACCACTGAACTGATTTTAATGAAATTTGGTACAGAGATACAGTTGACCTCGAAAAAGAACATAGGATAGTTTTTATCTAAGACTTTTGAAAAGTTCTCTTGCAAACGCGATATAACCGAACTCCACGCGGGCGAAGCTGCGGACGGAAAGCTAGTAATATATATTCATGTCCTAGTTGTATGAATGAGATATCCATTGAAATAAAACTTATATATATGTCACTAATTAATATGTTTGTTGGTTTTAATTTGTGTGGTTGTGACCGTTGAAATTAAATTGTGATAGTGTCATTTTAAGTATAGTTTTAGAGACGGAAATGATCTATAGAATTGAGATTGAGAAGTACCAATGATTTGTTAGATGAGATCCTGAATGATAGTGGAAATCAATTGATTGATTATTTGTTACATTATTTGAAAATGAATTTTTAAAGTCAACATTTCTATGAGAAGATTTTTTGCACTTATCGGCTAGCGCAGTTATAACTGGATAAGCAATGAGTTTTGTTTTCATAGATATAGTATTTATTTTGATAGATTCATGTATGTGTGTTATAACTTCAACTAGATAAGAAGCTTTGATAGTCTTTAAGTATTTTAAAGAAGTGGAGTAACTCTTAAAATTTGAAGAATAATATGTCCAAGTTCGCTAGTACAGATTCTTAATAGTTCTTCAGTGTACTGTATGAATGTATGTATGTCCTCGTAGTATACAAGTATTCCTTGCAGCATGTTTCCCTGCTGTACATTCTTACTCCGGTGACACACCGCCCAGCGTCGCGGCGTCTGAGCAGCGTCTAGCGCGTCATTACAATCGTAAATCAAAGTCGAAACAAATTGGTAACGCCGATGAACAGCTTTAATAAAAATCTCAGCATAACCACGGATTTAAACCCCATAAAAATATGATTTGGAGTGCCTTAATCCCGCCGTGGTTTTACGATGTTATAAAAATTGATTAATAACTTTCGGTGCATTTGTTATACGATAGAGGTCACATTGTTGCATTGACCCATTTAAGTGTCGTGTTCGTGGGTATTTTGGCGAGTGACCCAGACGTAACAGGACCTCAACATCAATTAACGAATTCGTCAGATTTCGAAAATCATTTCAATAAGTGACGTTGTTTCTGAACGTTTTTTTTTCCGTTATTTCTGAACGCTCTTATTTATATTTTCACATAAATGTCATCGTCGGTGTAGAATGAGTATGTCAATCATTCTGTGCGCGCTGATGTCGCTACGCGTTTAGAAATCGTTTTTATTTTTTCTTTATCCCATGATCCGTGGTTCCGGACGTTTGCCAGATCTACGTTCTCTTGTGTCACGTATTTTTGCTCTGTCACATGATTTGAACGGTATCCGCATTACTCACGCTATCTTTTTTTTCTAACGTCCTATACTTGTTATATATCAATGAAGATATTGTTACTTAAAAACATAATAGATTTGTGTATTATACACTTCTAACATTGTTCTGAAAAGTATTTTCAAAGGAAATCAATTTCAGATTAATCGATAATGAACAATTTAATATATAAAGTATGTATAATTAAGAATGTTTTAATTTGAACCCGTCTTAACCGCCACATAGTTATCGTAACAGGAATGCCACACTTAATAATTCTCGTTATGAATCGAATTTATTCATTGGGCACATATATTTTATTGTTGTGCCGGCACCGTCCTCGCCGCGGGGCTTTATAATATTATAACGTATAAATAAAACCAAATCGACTTTAAATTAAAAACATAACTTATTAATAACCTATTTAACTTTTACAGTTTCGCGCCTTTTATAATGTCACTGTCACTGTTATAGATAAATAATTTATTATAATCAGTGGATTAAAGCTATGTTTTCGCTCTTTTATTTGCAAATCATAACAATAGTTTTGTACGGATCTTGCAGTTAATTTTATGTTCATTCTAATTGCGTGTCGATGTTTATAGTGTGAGCAATTTTTCATATGATCCATAATAAGCTGTGATGTGTTTCTCGCCCTATCTTATTTATGTTGTATCTAATATAGTATGAGTAACAGCCTGGATCCTACCTCGGGGTCTGCATCGAGCCGTACTAAGTACAGTAACAATAATTGTTATCAAATAAATCATCGCCTAGATTGTTTATGTATTATCTTTAATATAAAGCTATAAGTTCGTTATAGGATCATATTAAATTGAGCATATTATTTATCATACAAAATAGATTATTAAGATTATTGTTATCATTGATTTATATCTTGACGTTCAATTCAGAAAACAGACTGTAAAGTTTACGATTCCGTATCGATATATGTTGAGTAACAAAAGTAACAAAAGTAACAAAAGTAACAACAAAACAACCAAATATAAGGCGAGAAGAGAACAATAAACCGGTTGATTTATTTTAATAAAGTAATTTATGAGCAAGAGCAAATTGGCCTCGTGACGGGCCGGCTTATCGAGGAACGAAACGCGATAAAATCACTGTCGATACTTCGATAAATACGTTATTAATGGTAAACTTGTATCGATAACTATCTTACTTATGAAACATTGTTAATTGTTTTATTCCCATCACTATTCACACATAATCTAATTGTAATATCTATGTATATGTGTCTGATAGGTCGTCCGGAGCTCGTAAATCCGATGATCGTAACTCTCGCCTTAATTACGGATAAATAAATAATTGAATGTTAGCGGCCGCGGGCCTAATCGATCGTATCGAAGTGTTCGAGGTGCTAACAAGGCCCCGCCAGCGTACTGTACCCAAATAAAATCATATATACGCTACCGAATATAATGTATATACAGGGTGACTGGTGAATTACTATCAATATTTAAGGAGCATACTCGGTACATGATTCTCATTCGAATTATGAAAAAAAAATAGGTTACTTAATTTTTGACAAAATTTCCGTATAAATAAATAAAGTGTGGACACGTTCCAAGTGTTCCAAGTGGGGATGCGTGCGGCGGCGTGCTGATAGAACAACACGCCGCCGCGCGCGAGTGTGTGTGTGTGTGTATACCTAATCTGTAGGGTGTTCATACGATGCGTAATTAATTGCATAACTTTTGGTTAACTTTACTTCGAAGTTTATTAATATATTTATGATGTATTAATCTTTATTTTGTCATATATGATCGTCAAATATCACGTCCTCAAATATCGATAGGAATTCACTAGTCACCCTGTATATACTTAAATTAATCTCTAGAATCATTCATATAATTAGACACAAATTTTCTTTGTTAAAATTTTGATGTCAATCATAATTAAATATTTGAATGTGACCGCTTTGAAGATGCTAATGCCATGTCTGATTAATTAAGCAGTATATTAAAACAACCATGTAGTATTGTTTAGATTATGTTTGACGATATTTTAAATTTCTTTTAATAAGTTTCTTTTATTATTATTAATATTTTCGAACGTGGTATAACATTACAATGTTTTAGTATAATCCAAAGATAGTTTGGTATTTGGATGTTCTTTCGTAACATTCGTCTGGTATCCATTTCCTAACCGAGAATAGAATCTATGAAATAAAGGGCGTCACTCCTCGGTCAGCTCAATACATCTATAGCTCGTTAGATGGCAATTAGCGGTCACGTCACTCGCCACTGACTCAAATAACACTGAAAAATCATTTATATCTGACGCTGAAGATGCCGATCGATTACTGGGACGGTATTCGCACGTGGGCGTGGAAAGCTAATTAAGACAACTAGATTCAAAAATTACCAGAACATTCTAGAAGTTATTTCAATATTTTTTTTGTGTTTGAATTATATATGGATAGTGTAATTCGAGTAACTTCCCGTGAAAATTCTATGAACTGCATAAGAATCGTTCGTAATAAAGAGTAATTAGATTCAAGCGATTGAAAGCCGTAAGTCTTAAGCAGGTCAAGCTTGATGGATGAAGCTAAATGATCCCCCCACTAACGAGCGATGACCAGAATATATTTATAATAGCGTTGACAGCTCTTCCGTTCACTGATTTCATTTAATACAATACATTTATTTATTTCTATTTCATTGTGTAATTGGATGGTATTTTTGTCAGTTTCGAGCTCAAACTATAAGAAAAAATACATATATACAATTTAATACCAATGGAATGTAAGTTTTAATGTTAAAATATCCTTTGGGTATACACCAAAATAAATTTAATTAAAATTAGTGTTTATCTGTCTTTTTAAGTTTGTTTCGGCTTATCTCATAAACTGAATTTTTGTTTTAAAATTTTATATTATTGAATATTCTTGCAATTCATTTGTTATTGCTAATATTATATAGTGTCCAAGTTAAGTACTGACGGAAATTCCTTATCAGTTATGTATATATACCGCGGAAGTTACATATCTAACTTCCTCTGTATGTATGTCTTTCTCACGGATGTCACCTGACCTTATTCCTTCATAAAAGGCTATGTCAACTCACGTTATATATTTCATTACACTATATACTTCTATATATATTACTTGTATAACATTCATCTATGCTGGTTGTAGGCGGCGCCTTTGATATCCGCCCTTGATCGGGGCGGGACTTTTTCCTTGTTATATTTTTATATGAATTTCCTTAGTTTTGAAGTGTTTTTTTGATTAATTCATATATCTTTCATATAAAATTAAACTCATTAAGATGTTCATTTAATAATTCTTGAACTACTTATACATTTAATAGGTTTTCGAATAAGATTGCTATTGGATTCTTATTAGTTACTTCGCGTAACCTAACAAGTTAACAAATTGAACAAAAATCTATGAAATGACTGTTCGTAATTTTTATTTCATAAACTGAATAATTGTCGTAAATTCCGTCCGGGACACTTCCAAGTTCCAGCACATAAATCACAAACATCCATTGTCAAGTAAAGTGTATAATTTGAATGTTATGTGAAAATGTCAAATTGACCCTTCATAGACAGTCGGTAGGTTGCAGTGAGCCCGGAGCAGCTTATGCTAATGTCTCATTGTAACTATTTATTTGTTATATCTAAGAGGCAGTGTCGTACATCTATTGTGACTGAACTTTGACTCTATTGTGTGTTTTTTGTTGATGCCACGGATTATTTTATTTCCGTTATGTGTTATAACGCTTTGTCTCATCGTAGAATTAAATTGGTTATGCTTAGTAATCATTTAATGATGATTAAGTCACATTTTGTTAGTATAATATTCGATTAATATATTGTTCATTTGAATTCGTAACGAAAGAAAGAAAAGTAAAGAAGAATACTAACTTAAATTATCAGTGATATGGAAGAAAGAAAGAATTTTTATACTACGCGAACAAAAATTTATACGTCTCAAAAATTTGTTAAACGTGTGTGATATTAATGCACATGTTATTCTTGTGATGTTCTTAACAATTCATTATTTAATGGCGATGTGAAGACTCAAATAGTGATTCGTCACGACCGGGACGTAGTTTGTTATTTAAATTGACATTCAAATGCGGACGGGGCCGAAACACGGTGGCACTGTCTCGACACCTTCATTTAAGATTATACTATATAAAAATAACACGACACTATATATAAAATATTACATTAAAAGATCTGTCACATCTCGTCTGTCCGTGATAAAGGTTGATGAAAAGTAGCCGAAACGTCGGGAGTATGTAGTTTTTTACAAATATTAGTGTCATTTAAATGAATAAACTTGCGAAAATCTAAAATCTCATAACATCTATTACAAATAAATACAAGCACAGCGAACAATGTGTGAATACTTTAATGATTCGCTCACAATAAACTTAATGTTATTTCACTGGAAATGTTCAGCAACAAAATGTATCTATCAACATTGTATTGTGAGGATTATTAACATTATTTTGTAACAAAAAAATTATAAAGAAAATTAAAGGGTTACCAATGATATTTTACGATTCTTGAAAACGACGAACGTTGGCTATAAAAATAAGTATAGGCAGCGTCTCGTGATAACAAAAGATAGATATTATAAGTCGTAATTAATACAATGTAATGATGCTCAGGATATATGAAGAATGGCCTTTACTTATATATAATAAAAACTATGAATGATGATAGCACGACGTATTAAACAAACAGAATGTAATATTGGTCGTTCCTTCACACGGTCGACTAGTTTTTGTTGTTAGTAGAAGTTTACGTGGAGCGATAGTTGCCGCCACCGCTTCGAGGATCCATTGTTGTATTCATCTCAACGACGTGAGTGAGTTGAGTCGCTTTAGCCGCATCCGACGTTTCCATTGTTGCCATTTTATAGCCGGTGTTAGCGTCCCCGCGGTGATCGTAAACCATACTGCAGCCTTCGATACTATGCACCACGAGCTGGCGGCCCGGAGATGAGCCTCGCGACCGCAGCACCACTGCTATAACACAACCGGTGCCACCGCAATGACGATTTTCATTCATATCTAATAAATTGATACGAGCCGTTGTATTGCGAGAGACGATTGGTTGAGGCGTTCCTCTGGTTCGATACTCGGGCCCCAGTTGTAAATCAACTTTACAACCTTTAATTACAGATATTTGCCGTCTCATGTGAGTGTAAGGGATATCGGAGGGCCGTGCTCGCGAAAATATCGTATAATAATGGGTATTGACCTGTAATGGCTCGCCTGTAGGTACTATCGGCCGCCTTTGTCTTGATTGTTGGAGCGAGAGAATATTCTTTTCTGAATGATTGCCAATTACATGGAATGGCCTCCTGAATTCCACTAAGCGATACAATACTTAAATATACTGCACAGTTTGATTGGCATCCGTATAAATGATTTATGTGATATTACGGTATGGTTTTGAATTTTTGTGATGCCTCGGATATTCTTGTGTCAGAATAAATTTCGTATAGCATTAAGAGCCCCGTGTCGAATATCTCACCGTTTAATCGCGCGTTTTAAGCTTACGTTATAAAACTGTCAGTTTTGCGAGTGATTCTAATAAGAAAGTATTATTGTATGCTCACACGTTCCCAACAATGTTGCACCGGATAGGGCGGCTGCCATTTTAATGTCTCTCAGACGGAATTACGCTGGATTGTTCTCAAGTTTACTGCTCCCCTCGTGATTGATCGTTGTATCCTCAGACTTATGTCATTCTCACTCCGTATCTCAGAATTTGTACTGCCACCAATAAATACACTCGGTTTGTTACATGGAGACTTCACTTTCTGACGTTTCGGCCTTATCGAGTATCGCATTTTATATTCGTGGCGACCACTCGTAAGTTCCTAATAATCGCAGCCGAGGGAGCTATCGTTTTTAGACAAGCGGTCTCCGGTTCGGAGTGCTATAAAACTTGGATATTAACACGAATGTGATCGTATTTCTAAATTAAAACCTCACTTCGGCCAAAGCAATAAATTCTGTTCACATAAACTCGAAACGACGGTGTAAACAAGGGATAGCTGTCATTTATTGCCCTAATATTCGTTAAATAAAAGAAAATTTACTTCCATCTATTAGCATCTCATATATAAGAGTTACGACTCCGGGAACACGAACTAGTTAGATAAAAGAAAAACTTAATAATTTGATATAAAACGTGTATTGTACTCAGTATTTTTGTTGTAGCCATTAGTAACAGTTGTGATGTTTATTTTAAAATGGACATGGATTGATGCGGTTATGTTTGTCGCATTAAAATTAATTTATATCTTAAATCGTAAACATTTTACAGCCGCATCAGCTGTAGTTTCCTCGCTATTCGTTCCATTCGTTCTATTTATAAACCAATACATCCAGACCTTGTATAACTCACTTTCACCGGGTTTTCCTATGTCATTGTTAAATGTTATAATTACGGAGATGAGGTATGTGGAAGATCAGTCGCGCGAACAGGGCTTATAATCGCATGGCTTTACGTTGGGAATCAGCTGTGAGTAGTAATTGTGATTGATAGAGTCAGGAATCTCGATGGGCGGCGCAATCAAAAGCGTATCAGACCAATACGGGCCGGGCCTCGTGTGAACGAGCGCCGGCATTGGGCGAGTGCGGGGTAGCGGCATAAAGGGCCTTGATACGACTCTCGATAAGCGGTAGGCGGTTGGCGTCGATTCGATCGATTATCGCTTGTATAGCCCACAGCGGCTGAGTCTGATAGGCCAATTATATAACATTCATTGGACTCTTCACTTGATAATTCAGACATATATTATATGTACAACTATAGTATATTGGAAGTAGAGAAAACTCATGCTTTGAGCGGTCAATAAAATTTGGGTGTATAGGATATTTTAATGTAAAACGTAAGCAGATTAAAGAGCTAAACATAATTTACAATCCTTTATCAGAGACGCGACTTCGGGGGCGTTAGTTTAACGATTTACGAGAGCTGTGCGCTTCGCCAACAAAAGAGTTCGTCTTCCTAAGCGACATCGATTGCCAATAAATATCGAGTGAGGTGAGAATAATCGATAAAAATGCAACAGTGTAGCTCATTGTACGGACGGAATTCATTCTATTCGAGGCACCATAAAAGTCGGGTCCATAAAGTGAAATTCATAATGCATATTTAGCATAAGGTTTCGTAGGAAAAGCAATAATTTGTCACAATTGGGCGCGATTAGATCGGCTCTGTCGGCGATTGGCCATACGTCATAAATTACGGTTTAAGAGTTGGTCGTGTGCGTGTGTTCTTGTACTGGTGGGTTATGCAAATAGCGTGTGTTGTGTCGCATGCGCATCGAATCGCGCGTTTTCCGCTGGGGAAGGCGGTTTGTGGAAATGGTTATTGGGGTGATTGCTTTCATAAACAATAGCTTTTGTCCACGGTTTCTCGTTGCTCGTTATATACGTAGATAACGGGATCGGTTCTATTCGTGTGATAGCATACTCCACGGCCGCTGTTAGGACAGATCGTGCCCTATCTCAGAAGATAATGGCGCGCAATTGTATGTTCTTCATTGAAATTTCTTCTAACTCCATTATGGTTGAAGTGCTTCTATTATAATGTACACTTTCAACACTTTGCTGCATATTATCGGTTTTAACCTATGTTCTGTATAACTTGGTATATTTAATAAACTTATGACAGTTAATATTATTGAGATATGCAAATGATAATTTGTATATCTCAAATATGTTTAATTTCGAGTTAACTAAACTAAATCATTTCATACTTTTAGTAGTAGATATTTAAATAGTATGGCAAAGGTATATTTGATTAACAAAAAATTAATGAGGTCTGTTGTTTTTCGTAAGTAATACATAAAGTTTAAGGGAGACGAAAATTTTGTATTATTTTGAGAACAATCAAGTGTGAATTAAAATATTCTGTATGTATGAGTTAAAGCTCAAAACCGGTTAAAGCTTAAAACTGAAGGACACATTTCGAAAATTTATAAATGAAAAATTTTACGCTTTTCGTATTCAAAACCGTCTCGAAGTGAAAATTAGTACCTAAATAGATGTTTTAAATAATTTTATTATATTTTATATGTACATTATTATAAGTTTCTTTTATTCTGACGTATATAATGGATTAATATTTATTTAAAACATATAACAGTGAAATGTTTGTTTCATTTGTAACGTCAAAGCAACAAAGTTTGTGTCAATAAAAGTTTATGATCTGAACAGGTGACGATAAAATGCCGTCGATGGGTAACCGAGGTCTGTAACAAATACTCTTATGAATTCACCAATTACATATATACTTTAAATAAATATTATTTACGAATAAGGTTCACTTGAATTTGACCTATGTATACAGTATGGTGTACCATAGAACGAATATAGATATTCGTGTTATATAATCGGCATACATATCTTCATCAATAACCACATATAATAATTTACCGCGCATAATCTTAGCCGATTTACAGCCGCTGTGTTAAATTACATATTTAACACCTCGCTGTCGTAAATAAATAAACATCAAGTACATACAGCGGTACATTCTTACATAACAATGGCTTATACAAACAGACCCGGAGCATTGTTATACCATTAATTTAACATTTCCCAATACACGCTTCATTTGGCCCAATTTACTCCGCTTAGACATAAGCACAGCAATTAATCTTTCGGCTGGGTGACGTACACCCCCCCTCCGACCTCCTACCTCCCCCCCAAACCCTCAACCCCCAAGGATAACCGGATGATTAACTGCCTGGAAGACGGATTGACAAATAGCTGCTCGGTATTTGCTAATGTTCGCGTTCATCAATAAAAGTAGAGTCGCGAGCTTTTTATTGGCAGCGTGAATTGAAACGCTTGCCACTCGGTTCTAAATAGTCATACATATTATTAACACTCATATCATTAATGTAACTATGTCCATTGTATCGTATTATAATGTAACTAGCTTTCCGCCCGCAGCTTCGCCGCGTGGAGTTCGGTTATATCGCGTTTCCAAGAGAACCTTTCAAAAGTCTGGGATAAAAACTATCCTATGTTCTTTCTCAAGGTCAACTCTATCTCTGTACCGAATTTCATTAAAATCAGTTCAGTGGTTTAGGCGTGAAAGCGTAGCAGACAGACAGACAGACAGACAGACAGACAGACAGACAGACAGACAGAGTTACTTTCGCATTTATAATATTAGTAGGGATATCAGTATAGCTGAACATAAATAAATCTCCGTGAGCCGTTGTTTGTTATCTCATAGAGGCGTGTAGTGGGTACTTACACAACTCGGGATGTTGCCTATTTCTCGTCACGTCATTACGTTTACCGCCGAATTACAGTAAATCAAGTAACAAACGCTACTTCGTTTCCGCGGCCACACCGCCTGCGCTAAATCCGTTCATCGTAAACGCTCGATCTGACTCGCTCGCACACATAAATCATTGGAAGTCCGATGCGTTGCGATTTAACACGCTGTAACTTCACAGCCCTCACCTACGGGCTATGGGCTGTGTGGAGGTTTAACAGCTGCGTATGGTACACTTATAAAGTTTATATTATGTGTTGCGAGGAGCTTTATATGGCTGAATGTTTGAACTTGTGATTATGTTGGACTTCATCATAAAAGTGTTATGATATTTTGTTTCAGGCACTCCCATCAATAGACTGCCGATCATGGCCAAGTCTGTTCTGGATCTGTACGAGCTGTACAACTTGGTGATCGCTCGCGGCGGTCTGGTGGAGGTCATCAACAAGAAGCTGTGGCAGGAGATCATCAAGGGTCTGAGACTTCCATCGTCCATCACATCAGCCGCCTTCACTTTACGCACACAGTAAGTTTAGGATATTTGAAGCCTACATTTTTTGGGCTTTATTGTCATCATATGTTCCTTAGATTTCTCAGCACTCTTCCATATCATCTAAATCCTTTGTCAAGGTGTGGTCTCCAGGAGCCGCACCATTTCGGCCACAGCGTCATTATAGCCAAGCGTCTCTCACGACCGCTAGACAAAGCTCCCCTCACAATAGACTACGTGAGCGTCCGTCGCGACAATATGACATGTTCATAATTAATAACTCCTTAGTTCATCTCGGCCGATATAATTTCTCATTTATGTCGAGTTCCTTCACCTCGTCTTTTGTCGGTCAACATAAAGGTGTTATTATAATTCATACTGTTCACCGTTACGCACGACATGGATTTTGAACGCAACCTATGATGATTACTAATTACCGAGTTCTTCATTTGACTCGATTCAAATGACTAGACGTTTTTACATCACAATGTATTTATAGTTCGTCTGAATGCTGGATCCTGTGTGTGTCGTGAGCGGTACGAAGCCACTCCATAGCCGCTAAGGGCTAGCGTATTAATGACTTGTTAAATTAGTTTAAGGCGAACGATGTTCCGCATTTCGTGACGTCGAAACAGACGTTAATTGACGATTGTCGTATCTTCCCACTTGTAGGACGGGAGCGTGCCAAAATATTTACACAACTATTCGTGGGGATACTTGATGTTTGATCTAAACTTTCCGTTCTAATCTATGGGACGGTCATTAAAATTTACAATTCGGTTATATCGTTAATGATGATCTGTCGTTTGGTTCTTTCATTCGAGCCCGTGTAAAGGTAGCCGACTTTTTATGAGGTCGAGCTCTGTCCGTCTCATTGTGTGCGACATTAAATATATGAACGTTTTATATGAGTTATGGTCCCGAATGGATGACATAGTACTTATAAAAATCGACTCCACGTATAATAGGATTAAGAATGTGCGATGATTGAGTTTCATTATGATTTATCGGTGTCGCATTTCGGTGTCACTAAATGGCTACATTAAAATAACTATAGCATACATCACTCGTTTTAAAAGATATCTTTATAATGGAACAATTATCCGTAATATTTCATTAGTTTTATTTATTACTCATGAGTGATGGTTGGAGGTTGTTATGCAAATGTATAAATGTAAGAATGCTCGAGAGACGAGATGATCACGTTTTTGATGTTAATGGTAAAGAATTTTGAATATAATAATAATGTTATTCCAGGTATATGAAGTATCTGTATGATTATGAGTGCGAGAAGAAGAACCTGTCAACCAGGAGTGAGTTGGACGCAGCTATAGAAGGCAACAAGAGGGAGGGACGTCGCGCCTCGGGACAGTATGATGCGCAGGCGGCTTTAGCTATGGTAAACATTATTCAATATTTAGAGCAATTCAATACGCTTTTTTATTAATCAAATGTCATTAACATTGATGTCAAATTACAGAATCTATAACTATTCATGTAAAATTTCCTCAAAACCATGATATTTATAAATTGCTGCAAAACCTTCTTCTTGAATCTCTTGATCATTTGAATGTCCATGATGCAAAGAACCTTTTGCTTTCTTTTCATTGCTATACACATTATTGAACTAATCACATATGTCTAATATCGTGAATATTCTTCCAGCCTCCTCTCAATAGAGTTCCAGCATCCCTGGCCCAGTTATCCCAGCACATGCAGCCGTTGTCCCTGTCACTAGCCGGCGGGGTGGCGGGGGTTCCCCGCTTGCCCCCCCTCCCGCCACACGCCCCCCACATATCACAACACGACATAGAGTACCGCGTGAGGGAGTACATGAAGATGATACAGCAACAGCGCGAACTGATCAGGAACGGTATGTACTGTTAGTTATCGCAATTTAGATATTGTATACATCTAAATATACAGGGTGACTGGTGAATTACTATCGATATTTGAGGACGTGGTAGTTGACGATCATATATGACAAAATAAAAATTAATATAACATAAATATTAATAAACTTCTAAGTAAAGTTAACCAAAAGTTATGTAATTAATTACGCATCGTGTGAACACCCTACAGATTAGGTATACACACACACTCACACATACGCAGCGGGGGCGTGGTTTTGTATCAGCACGCCGCCGTACGCGTCCACACTAGGAACACTTGGAACGTGTCAACACTTTATTTATTTATACGGAAATTTTGTCAAAAATTAAGTACCTATTTTTTTTACATAATTCGAATGAGAATCATGTACCGAGTATGCTCCTTAAATATTGAAGGTAATTCACCAGTCACCCTGTATAAAAATGAATTGCTGTTCCTTAGTCTCACTAAAACTCGAGTACGGCTGAACGGATTTACCTTATCTTAGTCTTGAAATGTTCGTGGAGGTTCAGGGAAAGTATAAAAGCTGAAAAAATTGATTCATTACTGGGAAAACCATAAAAACAGCCCTTTTCTATTTCCCATACAAACGTTTTTTTTGACATTAGATTTGACAACTAACTAATATGTCAATCATTCAGTCGCACTTCAAAACACGGAGATTTGTGGCTTACAGGTAAACTCCAAAAATATAAATAAAAAAACGTAATAGATATTTCTTGATTATAGGGCGATACGAAGTTCGCCAGGTCAGCTAGTACTTTATATGAACTTAGGACTCAATATTTTTTGTGTGCAAGGTGCAACTCTTGGACCACTTTTATTTAGGTTTAAAGAATTTATTCTCAAAAAGACATAGTCACTTATATGAGAACATACATACAAAAGTGAAAATACAAAAGTAGTCGCCAGATTATTTGGAACTCAATAAAAGATAGTAAGATATTATTACAAGTGTGTTACATAATTGGCATATCAATTATTTTCTAAAATATGTTGTGAAAGTTGATATTTAAACTCGTTAATTGAGCTTGCATTTCTTATAGTAGACGGTAATTTGTTGTAAAGTTGAGCCTCAGATGTAATAGCCTTTTTTACAAGTTTTGTCCTAGTCTTTGATAGAACTAGTAAGTTAAGTCGACGGGTGCTAAACGTACTGACTTGTTTCATAAACGACAATTCAGAGTGTACAGATTTATTAATAATTTTTCTTATTAGAATGCAGGAATTATTATAAAGTTGTTTTAAATTCTTCATTTATTTCAATTTATTAAGTGTTCATAAGTGATATATTGCTACTTATTAACTTTATATAAGACTATATACGCTCTTAATCTCTTTATATATCAGTAGATGTCATATAAAAGGTTTTATTTCACATCCCAGGGTCGGAGTCTCCGCCGGGCGCGCCGATGGTGTCTCCTCGTGACGCGGCCTTGTCCGCCATAGACGTGTCCCGCCTCACGCTGTGGTCACTCTACAACAACAACAACAACAACAGCCCGCAGCCCGAGATAGAACCACAACGGTAAACAACATATTAGGTGTACAACTTTGCTTCCGCCGTTTTTTTCCGAAATTCGAGGGTTTATTGTAAAAACCGGGTTATACATTTATGATTCAAAGTATTGTCCATCGTTAGCCACTACTTTCTCCCATCTTTCGGGCAGCATACGAATCCCGCGTTGAAAAAACTGGTCATCTTTTGAAGCGATCCACAAATAGATCCAATTTTTAACTTCTTCATAAGACCGGAAGTGCTGGTCAGCCAGGCCGTGTGCCATTGATCGAAACAAGTGATAGTCCGAGGGAGCAACGTCTGGAGAATACGGCGGGTGGGGTAGGACTTCCCATTTCAACGTTTCCAAGTATGTCTTGACCACTTTCGCAACATGGGGTCGAGCATTGTCGTGCTGTAAAATCACTTTATCATGTATCTCGTTGTATTGCGGCCGTTTGTCTTTCAATGCTCGGCTCAAACGCATTAATTGCATTCGATAACTATCGCTTGTGATTGTTTCAGTCGGTTATAACAACTCATAATGCACTACGCCGAGCTGGTCCCACCAAATACAGAGCATACCTTGGCACCGTGAATATTCGGTTTGGCCGTCGACATGGAAGCACGGCCGGGATATCCCCATAATTTTCTGCGCTTGGGATTATCGTAATGAACCCATTTTTCGTCCCCAGTCACAATGCGATGCAGAAATCCTTTAAGTCTTTGCCTTGCAAGCAGCTATTCACAAGCAAACAAACGCCGTTCAACATCTCTCGGCTTCAACTCGTACGGCACCCAATTTCCTTGTTTCTGAATCATTCCCATGACTTTCAGGCGTTTTGAAATGGCTTGTTGCATCACTCCCAATGATCCTGCCAATTCTTGTTGCGTTTGACACGAGTCTTGATCAAGTAATGCCTCCAATTCTGCATCTTCGATAATCTTCTCTCTTCCACCGCCATGCCGGTCTTCGACGTCAAAATCACCGTTCTTGAAGCGTTGAAACCACTCTCGGCACGTTCTTTCACTAATAGCGGCCTCACCATAGGTATTTGAGAGCATTCGATGAGCCTCAGCCGCAGATTTCTTCATATCATAGCAGAAAATTAAAATCTCCCGCAAATGACGAGAATTTGGCTCGTAAGCTGACATATTTAATCGAGAATAACTTTATGATGCAGACACAAATCGATTAATATTTCGATGGCGTTATGTTTACAAATACCTAAGCTTATTGTATGACATCTACGATCTATTTATTTCAACTACCACTTACCGCTACAACCATCTATTGCAAAACGGCGGAAGCAAAGTTGTACACCTATGTACATACATTTCGCCCGCGTAAAGTTCGATTATATCGTGTTTCCAAGAGAACCTTTCAAAAGTCTGGGATAAAAACTATCCTATGTTCTTTCTCAAGGTCAACTTTATCTGTACCAAATTTCAATAAAATCAGTTCAGTGGTTTAGGCGTGAGAGCGTAACAGACAGACATATGTAGTTACTTTCGCATTTATAATATTAGTAGAGTTAACTCTTAAGTAATGATACAGCTATGATTCATCTAGCAATGATATTTTCTTGATTATTAATTTTTTAAATGTATCGCTATAGAGACGTCAGCTATAATTATTATCATTCATAACAATACATAAACTAATAGATGAAAGCATGAACAGGTGATCATATACTTCTTTGTGAACAATCTCCTCATCCACAGCGAGGCGTTGAACCTCAGTGAGAGTCCGACCGGTATAAGCATCAAGCGCGAGGCGTGCCGCAGCCCCCCTCCCCCCGCCAAGAGGCGCACCCCGCGGCCGCCCTCCCGCAGCCCGCCGCCCGCCGCGCACCCATCACCCACCACCCCGCAACCATCACCCGCCACCCCGCCGCGGTACAACAACGTCAACGGGGCAGCCTTCAAGATAACCACCAGAGGTGAGCTATATAAACTATACTAGCTATTAGAATATACAGCTCAAGTTATACTGGTTTCAAAGATACGATATACATAGTTGTACATAGCAATTCGACTACACGTCTCAATTTATAGTGGTTTCTATGTAGTAATTTGTATTATTTCCACAGGTGACGCGTCCACCGGTGACCAGCAGCTGGTGGTCTCCATCGAGCTGAACGGCGTCACATACGAGGGCGTGTTGTTCCCCTCACAGAACGGCAGCGGACAGAACGGACACCGGCAGATGGTGTCTTAAACGTGACGTCACACCACCGATTCATTCTCTTGGTACTTTTTTTCTATATCAGACCTGAGACAAACTAGTATTAGTATTTCGAAGCCATCAGTTTATATACAGGATGTAGAAAAAACACCGATCGAGAAGCGAGTCTACAATCGGTATGTTAGTAGCCAGTAGGGAGGGTTTATGATTTTCTTCCATTGTCTATGGTTCCCGTTTCCCGCCACTGCCACACGGGAAGCAACAGTGTCAAATGACAATTCTCTTTTTGTAAATATAGTTTCGTATGTTATTTATAATTTCGGTGCGTGTATGTTTGTTTGTTAGTATTATATTCTTCTATATAATATCTCTTCGTCGATGTACATTATTGTAAATAGCTCGCTCGGGCTCGTACGGCCGCTTGTAGTGTATATTTGGAGGACAGTATTCGTAGTATTTATAGGTAGTTGTTCTCATGTTTCTTTGATTTAAATTAAACTACGATATGTATTGTATCATTGGAATACAAAATACGTTATCTCGAATACATTTTTTATATTTAAATTGTGCGGTGAGCTTGATCGATATGAACCATTATAACGTGAGCCGCGGCTTGCTGCGCAGTTTAAACTTAGTTATGGAAACAAATATTTCTGATATGTTATAAGGTAAGCACACTACTTAATAAATATTGTGGTGTGGAGTAATATAGAGATGTTTAAACATTATGCCATTTCCTTACTATAGGCGGTAGATGTAGGTAGAATAAGGTTCAGTGAAGTCTTGAATAAACAAATGTCTTTTAATGTCTTTTTTTTTTATTAAGAATAATAAAATAATTTATCTGTCAGTGTATAGCGTACGGTCGTTGAATGTGGCACGTTTGTTGAAGTGCAATAATCGATATCAAAAATCTCCAATAAATATAATAATCGGTGTTAGTGTTGTACGTGTAGTCGTCTAGTGTAGAATATATGAGATGCTTTGTAAATGACTGATTTTAAATAATTTTTAATATTAATTTAATGTTTATAATTTTAAATGAGAAATTTTTAATGTTAAAATCGTATAGATTCATGATTGTTCTATGCTAAGTAGCGGTAGTAGAGTACATTCCCGTCGATGTACGTTATGTAGAGAATACAACCGGCCTACCATTAAGTAGCGGCCGGAAGGCATTAACGATTTTCGTCTTACACCAAAAAAAAAAATAATTTGATGTATTCAAATAATATACATGAATAAATAATTATTATGACATATGATATTGTATTTTATTTATTACTGCCTCTAAACTACATTACATTAAATATTTAGTGTTACGTGTGTGAAAAATATTGTTATTATTATGAAAAAATTCCAAGTTACTTAAATTCTATCATCAATTTATAATCGTATAATACTTTAAATTTTATTAATGTAAATATGTTTAAGAAAATAATTTATGAATATTATTTAACAAAATTACATGTACATATATTCATTTATTTTAACATTTCCAGAAAATAACAAACCCACAAAGAATCGTTCATATAAATTAATTATAAGATTTTAAAACTTTACATTTCATAAAATTATTGATTTTTTTTTGAAGTTTTCATTTAGAATTGTATAATTGTAGTCAAATGTATAGATTATATACTCTTAAAATTTTATTATTTTCATTATTTTTATTAAATATGTGCATTTAGCACTTTAAGGGGCCTCATGTGAATGGTTTCTTCGATATTATCTGTAGGTTTTGGCAGTTTAGTATAAAATTGAATGTATGTAGCATGAATCCACAAAGTATAAAGACCATATTTTTGTATGATAATTGTGGAATTATACTATTTATTACTTATGCTATAAATGTTTACTTCTGTAAGTACTCGGTACACATGGCAGGTTTTTTGACATATAAAACTCAATACTTTGCCTTAGCAGTAAGGGGAACTTAGTTAAATATTAGAACGTTAATACATAATTTTTATTTCGAAAAGCATATTTTTAATGACTAGTTCCAAAAGTTACCTTTATAATTGAAAAATAATAAAAGGTTTATCAAATACCTATATTAATAGGAAAGTCTGAAAACATTATAATTTCGTGTCCATAGAATTGTAAATACATCATATTAATTTCTTCTTCTACCTGTCAATTTCCCAGCTATAGCCAGGGTCTGCCTTACATGTTGTGAATAGTTTTTGGCTATTTGTTTTTACGACCGGCCGCCAGTAAATACATCACATTAATTGAATTATGAAAATATATTATCCTTAAATAACATGCCGGTCACGAACGAGCCATTTTTCAATAAGCTGTACTTTAATAAATAAATCATAAAATCTATACTAACTTTTAAAATAATTTTTAGTGACATCTATATAGTAAATGATTAACCCTTATGTCACTTGTTTGTATACCCTTACAGAGCCCTCTGTGAAACAATATTCACACTATGTATAGTCACTTAATCTTGCTGGTTGTGTAAGCGTTTTAGTTTACAACCACTAGGTGGCACTGTTTTCAATTTATGTAATAATATTATTATTTGCTATATGTAATTATGAATTAAAATTTTAGGAAGTTCCAACAGTATTTACTCATTGTTATTAAATAACGAACATGTATCGAAAAAAATTAGTTTACTCCATTTATCTTTTGGCAATTTGATTTAGTTACTGAAATCTTAATCGAGTTTAACCTTGACCTTAATCCATAGACAGATTTACTATTTGTTTTAATCAATACGAAGCTTGATTCTTATATTATCTTTAAAAGTTTAAAATTGGTAGCATTTAGATATATAGCGTTCACTTTTATATGAATGAAGTAGGTACTTTGAAGCAATATCGTAACAATTAGTAAGTTTATCACGTCTGTATGTTGTGTGAAAGGTGCTCTTAGAGAATAATAATGACATTTTCACTTGAACTGCACTTTCAGTTGCGTTGTTATTAGGTTGGTAGAATATAAATATACTTCAATTAATATTCATATATTTTAGCCAGTCGTTCAACTCAAATGTTTATTTTCACTTTTCTGTTTTTATTAAGAAGTTTTTGATTTGACAAGTATAATTTATTATTATTATTATTTTCATATTAAATTATGGTTTCTTCGATAAGTAAATACAGCCATGCATACATAAATAATGAATAAATTTCATTTCCTTCTCTGTAGACGTGTTATGTACATTCAGAAAATCATATAATGTTCAATAATTTTTTAATAAATAAATCAACTAACACACTTTCTTACAGTAACCGTAAGGATACTTAGCATTTAGTTCAGTTTTAATCTTGTATTTAAAAGATCCTGTTTATCCAATATAGTTTTCGTCGTTACACTATAAATGAATAGTTAGCAGTTTCTCATTCAAAAATAAATTAGAATAAGAATATTACAATCCTTTTTTGTTTGATTAAATACACTTGTTAAAATCATTTCAAAGTTCAATGTTTTAGCCTGTTCATTCGTCATCAGCCTATCAGCGCCCACTGCTGAGCAAGGCCTCTTTCTCTCATGGAGAAGGTTTGAGCATTAATCACCACGCTTGCTCAAGACGGGTTGGTGATTTCAAACTTATAATTGTGAAACTATAAGTCCAGGTTTCCTTGTTTTCCTTCACCGTATGTCAGTGGTGTCTAAATACGCTCAGAAAGTACATATGACTCCGAAAAATCACATTGGTACTTGCCAGGTTTGAACCCGCGCCCTCGGCAACAAGAGGCGGACCCTTTAACCACCAGGCCACCACTGACTCCTGTTCATTCATAGTAGTATAAATGAAATTAATAAAAATTTTCGTAATTTTATATGTAGAGAATTTTTTAAAAACTTCGCAACGTTTTAAACCTTTGTAATGACGAGAAATAAAAGTATAAATATGTTCAGATTTGATTTAGATGTAGAAATACTGCCTCTCATATATATTTCTTTTCTAAGTGACCATAAGAAGGTTTTTACTTTCAAATTTTACCTCCATTATATTGTGATAAATTGTTCCTATATGATATCAAAGTAACAAAACTCAATTGAATTAAATTAGCCACATCTTTTCCTCATAATTTTTAAATATGTAATATTAAAGATATTCAATTAAAAAGAGAACATTCTTAAAACATATTCACACTTAATACTTAATGATCTTCAAAGGTAAATACTCTTAATATAAAATTCTTACGTCATTTTTAAAATAAAGCTGTTAAAAAAACATGGTAGGTAATAAATAAATAATAAAAAATATTTTTTTTTATGTAACCTTTATGCGACAGAAAGAAAATATTAACATATAAACATACAAATATCTTCCATTAACAATCGTCATTGGGTGAACATTTATCCATAAATATTTAAATACCAACCTTAAAATACTGACGCAGTTTGAGCTAAAATTAAGATGACTTACATTCACAACATTATTGATACTGAAAGCAGAGATCAAACAAGAAAACGGTTTATTTATCTCATATTATAATTGAGAAAATGTGTGATTGTTAATACTTTACTATGTAGACATCAAAATAGACCAAATTGTTGCAAGAGGTCTACTTATACTGGTTACAGTTAATGTATAAAGAGGAAAAATAAATTATTATTTTTACTTCACAAGATCTACTTACTTGCCTCTAACTAAAAAAAACGAGTAGAAGTGAAATACGAGATAGTAGCTCTATAGTATACATTTTGATGTTAAGCTTATTATAATAACGAAGGTGGAAAAGTCTTGATTTTATGTTTAACTGCAGCTCAAAGGAAGGCTAACTTTAACGAGGAATATTTTTATATTCATTTCAATATGTATGTACTCTCTTAGTTTTTTATTTGTGCATTGACTTGTGTTCTGAATCACTCTCAATGAGTGTGTCAAAGAACGTGCTTGTATTTTAAAAAGGAGATTGATGTTAACGCTTTGACAGCCTAACAAGTTTTAGCTTACGAGAATGAAGCGGGCAATTTTAAATCTACCGATTTGGCAATTGTGAAGTCAAAACAATAGGGAAAATTTTGAATACAAAGAAAACGACTTATACTTTTATCAAAACTAT